GTCTGATGAACACATTTGGCTTCATAGACGTCATTGTATTTATTTGTAGATTTTAACTGAAATAATTTTAGTTTAGATGTCATACTAGTAGACCCTTTTTATTGGAATAATGATTAGACCAATTGACCTTCATACTTCTACTTGCACAGTAAAATATTCGTTGTCGCAGTAAACCAAAACACAGGCCCGACCAGAGGGGGGGGCAGGGGGGGCAAAATACCCGGGGCCCAAAGGGGGCCCGGGCCCGGCCGTCGTTAGCAAATTTAAAAAAATTCCTTTTATTAAAATATTTTACAACAGATTGAATTTGCTTGCGGTTTTAATTATTAAATTATTATAATGAATATTATGCATTTGGAAAAGGCAATATGCAAGAAATTATTTCTTCGTATAAGTTACAATTAATAAAAATATATCGGGAATACATTGCGCGTGGAGCCCCTGATCGGAAGCTTGCTCTATCGGCCACTGCCACACGATTCGCAGGCGCGACGTCTGTTTTGTTTACGAGTTTACGTCCTGACTCTCTAAAGGCCCGTTTTCACGCTACGTCTTATTGTACGTTTTGTGGGTCATATAAAACGTACGACAAAACGTACGTTTTGTCCAGTGTATACACACTACGTGTTTGGATTTCATTTCGATTCGACAAGACGTACGTTTTGCTGTTTACACGCCACGTTTTATTGTATAGGATTTGTCCTATCCAACAAAACGTACAATAAGACGTAGCGTGAAAACGGGCCTTAACATTCCCATTATACCCCCTTCGTCACAGGTTTCAATTGCAATTTTCGGCAGTTCGAGTTTAAATAGGACGTTGAACACAGCTTTGGTGTTATTCTGTTGTTTACTTTCGGTTTTTAGTAGCTGTTATGTGATTATTTAAAAAGATTCTGAAGATTATATGTGATTATATTGAGAATAACAAAATAAGGTAAGTTTTCACAACTAAAACTTTAAAACTATATGTAGTTATAATGGGCCTCCTAGTTCTAATCTTGTATTCTGGCAGAGATTATTCGTGAATTTCGCGAAGTGCTTTATTATCTGCCTAACATGTCTGTTATTTTATTTTATGTTCTCTCCAATGATTAAATGCTATAACATAAGTAAGATTATGTAATGAATTTATTTAATTACAAATATATATTAAGCATACTGTCCTGGATATGATATAGCTTCAATAGAAACTGTTGGCGAAAGACAGTTTTTAGGTGCAAATGGTCTTGTTTTTTGTAATTAAATTAATTCTAGATGTGGTTTGGATGAATTTTTTTCTGTGGGAAAAGGACAAATATAGGGCCTTTCTAACCTCTATCCTCTAACGGTTTTTTTTAATCAATTAGCTTACATAGGTTTTCATTTTTTTTTTTAGAATTTAAAATGGAATACCGACACAAATCTGGGGCCGTAAAGAGGAAAGAAAAACATGAAAGAGAGGAGAAGGCAAAGAAAGGCCAACAGAAGCTGTCTGTTTTCTTAACACAGCCGAAAAATGTGTCAAATGAAGAGAAAGAAACTAACATTGAAAATGAGCCCTTAATCCTCCCGGGCACTTCAAATTCACAAACACCCTCCAACAGCTCAAATGTTGGTCGTGAGCTATCCTCACTTAGTAGTGATGAATTTTTAACTCCATTACACTTAGAAGAACGTGACGAACAGGATGAGGCAGTGTCAGCGTCTACGAACATTTTGAGCCAACCAGAAGTTTTTGATGTAGGCAATTTGAGTTTGTTACAACTTAGTACTAAACAAGTTGAAGTTGCTGTCACAAAGGGGCCACAAGCTCATCCCAACACGTTTCCTGCAGACTCAACGAGACGGCAATTTCCTTTATCTCTGCTTAAATTTAAACTACCCAATAATGAAGTTGTTCCAAGGGATTGGCTTGTTTGGAGCGAAGTGAAACAGGCTTTGTTTTGCTTTCCTTGTCGGTTGTTTTGTACTCAGACAGAGGTGGTGCGATCCAAATTCGCCTCAGTTAGTGGGTTTCCAAAAGAACATAAATGGAAAAAGTTGTACGAAAAGATTCCTGAGCACCAAAACAGCCTTAGCCATAAAGGATGTTACTTAAAATGGAAAGATCTGGAATTAAATCTTAACAAAGGAGGTACTATATTTGGTAGCATTGAAAAACAATTGCAGAATGAAATCACTACCTGGAAACAGATCTTACACAGACTCCTTCACGTAACTTTATTTTTAAGTGAGCGAGGTCTCTCTTTTAGAGGAGAAACTCAAAAGGTGGGTCATCCAAACAACGGCAATTTTTTGGGCGTGCTAGAACTTTTAGGTCATTATGACCCTATTTTATCGAAGCATCTAGATCAGGTTAAGCAATCTCAAGAATCGAATAAGAGAATGCAAGTGCATTATTTGTCTTGGAGAACTCAAAACGAGTTCATAGCAAGTTGTGCTGATTATGTAAGGAAAGTTATTGTGGACGAACTCAAGCGATCTAAATACTATTCTATTATGGTTGACGCTACACCAGACTCAAGCCATGTAGAACAGACCTCTTTTGTATTTAGATACATTATTTTCAAAGAAGACGTAAAAGAATATGAAATCCATGAACGATTTTTGGAGTTTTCCGACTGCAATGAAAAAACTGGAGAAGACATCGCAAATCTAATCAAAGAAGTTCTTAAAAAATATGACATATCCTTAGATAACTGTAGAGGACAGGGATTCGATAACGGCAGTAATATGAGTGGCAAGTATAAGGGTGTTCAGGCTCATATTTTAAAATCAAACCCTCTGGCTGTGTACTCACCATGTGGATGCCACAGTTTGAACTTATGTGGAGTATGCGCTGCTGAGAGTTGTACTGAAGCACAGACTTTCTTTGGTGTTGTTCAGAATCTGTACAATTTATTCAGTTGCAGCCCAAAAAGATGGGAGCTTCTGAAAGAGATAGTAGGATCTTCACTGCACTCATTGTCTGATACGAGGTGGAGTGCTAGAGTAGAATGTGTGAAACCAATAGCGGCACACATAGGCAAAATCATTGAGGCAGTTTCATCATTGTTGAATCTTAACGTAACTGTTGAAACGAGAGCCACAATCAATGGGGTTTTAGAATATCTTAACACCTTCAAGTGCATCCTTATGGCGTCAATTTGGGTGAAAGTGTTGGTACCCATCAACTACAGAAGTCAACTACTTCAAACTATGGACGCTACTTTGGATGTTGAGAGTAGTAATATAGAGAGCCTAATTGATGATTTAAGTGCCATAAGAAATAACTGGGACAAGATATTGTCTGAATGCAAACATGTTGCAAATGCTTATGGTATCGAACCGGAACTCTCCACTTCCCGTGCGAGAAAGAGGAAGACTCTTCACGATGAAACAGCTACAGAAGATGTAATGTTTAATTTATCCCCGGAAGAACGCTTCAAAATAGAAGTTTTTTACACAATAATTGATGTTTTGGTGGCCAACCTGAAAACGAGGTTCACAGCACTGAGAGAAATCGAAATGAAATTTTCATTTTTATGGAAGTATAACGAAATGGACGAGAATACGATCTCAGAAAGTTGTGTAAGATTCGCCGAAGAGTACCATTCAGATGTAAGCAGGGATCTAGTTGATGAAATGATTTACTTGAAAACTGTTAGTAAATCAAACATCTCAGATACGTCGCTGAAACCAGCCAAACTTTTGAACAAGCTCGTATCCCTTAATGTGACAAATCTTTTCCCCAATGTGTGCATTGCTCTTCGCATATTCTGTTGCCTACCAGTATCCGTTGCTCAGGCCGAGAGATCATTTAGTGTTTTGAGCCGAATTAAGAATTGTTTAAGATCTACTATGGGTCAACAACGATTATCTGATTTGGGACTGTTAAGCATAGAGTCGAAACTTGCAAAAACTCTTGATTTCGAGCACGTGATCCAAAACTTTGCAGATATGAAAGCAAGAAAAGTTATGTTGTAACTAACAGTTCTATTGTAGATAATTAAAAACAAAGTTTAATTGTTGAAACTGTTTTAATTTTCTTCCTTCTTGTGTCAGTAGCATGAATGTTCACTATTATATATCCCAGTTTATGAGTTATTAGATTTTTGGTAATTTTCGTCCAACTGGGTTTGGAGGGGGGCCCGGCCGGGTCTCATCCCCGGGGCCCGGCCTGGCTCTGGGCGGCCCTGCCAAAACAGTCGTATATTCGTGGAATAGCCTATAGTACATGACCGAAGAGGGCTACCAAATCATTTTATTAGGGAGAAAATAAGTAAAATAAAGGTATAATGTGCCAGAAAGACGTTCGAGTGGTTATTCGATATGAATTACCAGAGAAAATAAGGTACCTACGTAAAACAGTAATTGGATTTCATATACAAATCGTAAGAACACCCGCTTCCGTCAAATGCTTTACACCATCTCGTGTTTTTTACATAAATTCTGTATATACCACTGTTACTATTATTATAAATCATTTATAATTTTCTTCAAAATCATATAAGCCGTCTCTGGTAAACCTGATAAAAATAAAACTAACAAACTGTTATTCTAAGATCTTTTATTTTACTGTTAGATAAATTAAGGCTGTTGTTTATATAGACAACAAATACGTAGTCTGCTTATTAAATATCAAAGATAGTAACATACTATTATTTAGCCAAAGTTGTTATTCCAAATATACGGTACGGTAGCTAACGTATTCAACTAGTTAAAGGCAAGCACGTTAATGAATGTCAGTTGTCATAATTGTCTTTAATTGTTGCAGCAGCGCTGCCACGTTTCGGTTATGAAAAATCGGAAAGTTAAAGTCAAACTAATTAAAATTTTATAAAATTAAAAATGTATGAATACTTTCAATTACGAAATACAGATAGAATACTAAACTATACATTTTAGTTATTTAGCTTACTAGTAACATTTTTATATTCTTATAATGTGAACACGGTGTACAGTTGTGACAGTTAAAACACAAAAAATGCGAATGAAAATCTCCAGATCTACTACTACACTCACAATTGTGGCAGCGTTGTTAATTCATGTCAAGACAATGTCAAGAGAAGTGATATAAGAAATATTTTATTATTGTTGATAAACCATACTTTTTAAACTAAAATGTAAAAATATTTTAATCGTTTTAACTGGATAATGTAGAGCAGCATGCCGCCATTTCGAAGAAAAAAATCTGGAAAGAGCTTTCCTGTTAAAGTATGCACTTTGGATGCTGAATTGGAGTTCAATTTAGAAGTATGAACAATGTTGACTCACTGATTCTTATTTATTAATTTCACAATCAATTTTTATTCGTGTAATTAACTGTGCTATGTATATTTTAGTGGAGGGCAACTGGAAGGGACCTTTTCGAATTAGTTTGCAGGACGATAGGTTTAAGAGAAACTTGGTATTTTGGTTTACAGTATGAGGATTCTAAGGGTTTTATATCATGGTTAAAATTGGACAAAAAAGGTGATTTTTCTTATGTATTTTATGCTTTTTTAACACCAGTTTGCCGCCGTTTTTGGGACTTTCTGTGGAAACTTTAGTGTGAGAGATGCTTTAATAAAAATTGCCATTTAGATGTACTAACATGTTGAATCCCTAGAGGAATACTGTTCCATCATAAAAAGGTACTTTTTCATAAAATTAGAAATAAACAATCACAATTAAATAAACAATTCCGATATAGTTGTGTTCAATTGGGAAAATTGCATTTATTTTTTTACTTTGTTATTTTGCTAGGTAAATTTGATCCTGCAGGAACTCTACATAAGGAAAACTCAAAATAACATTTTATTTATGACAGTGTTCTTCTAGGGGTATGTTATCTCAATTCTAAAATTAATTTTTGGTATATTTTCAGTGTCAGTTTTTACATCTGTTTATGCTATTATTGTTTTGAAATTTACTAAATGTGTGGGAAAGGATTTGATAAAAATGATAGCAAATATAATCTGCTAGATTTGTTATATTAAAATAATTAGCAACTCTTTGTAGTATTTCTCTAGATTGATAGATTCCAACCACTTGTTGAAATCCTTTCCATTTTAATAGTAACGAAATTTATCAATGTCAATATTTTATAGTGTGATAAGCAATATATGCATGGAAAATATTCAAGTATATTTTTTAAGATGATGCCAGGTTGCTTCATAGGCACTACTCATAGGTATTCTACAAGACTAGACCTATTACCTTCCTCCACTAAGCACTTATTCCCATGTTTCTCATATCTTTTTTAGTATTTGGCTAAGTCAATACCAACTAACATTAACACAGTAACCTAAAAAATATTTTGCTACATGACCTTTCATTTCCATTTGATAATGAGCACTATAAGGAATTAATTGCATAAAATATTTAGGTTTATTATACAAACAATAAATTGAATAGGGAGCAACCCACTGTTTATATTTGTAAAAAAAATCACCAACAATAAGCATATTGAGCATTGTCAAGATACCTAAATAAAACATCACAAAACATTTACTTCTTAATTCACAGACATATTTCAGATACTTTATATGATATAGAATAAAGCCACATAAAATGGACTTCAGCCTCTTTTACTTCTTCAAAATCCATCCCTGGACAAGGTGTTAGGGTTACCTTGACACCATCTTACACATCTTTACATATTTATTATCTTCCTAATAAAATCATAGATATCTGATCATTACACATATACCAGGGTGTACACAGTTGTTTTTTGTTCTTTATGTATCATAGAAAGATTGTAAACATTAAACAAAAAAAGAAAAACAAATATCTTAAAAAAATAATTGAATCGTTATTAACATTAGTCAAAAATTATTTTTGTTATGAAACCATTACTTACTTCTACCTTTTTGGATTATTTGGTTCACCTCTTTGTTTTTAAATAGGTGGATTGAAACTTGTACCCACTTTTGAAATCCTTCTGGAGTGTTCTCCTTGAAAGAGAGGATATTAGTCTATTTTCCTTCTGTGATTTGACCAAATTGAGATCAGAAACAAACCATAGAATAATCAAACATGACTCAAATGATCAATACAGCGTTTTTAGTTCCTTCTACTTTCATTGAAAAATCTTATAAATCAATCAAAAATCAATAACCATTCCATTGGAAGCCCATAAATCCCCCCATGTAAATTAATTATTATGTTTTCTTCCCTAGTTTGTATAGCAAGATACTTCAATACTCCATTCATTTAGATTTTTTATTGAGGTCCATAAATAGTGAATTCTTCAACATGATTATCAACTTGGTCTTCAGTTAGAGATTTTTTGGAGGTTATATATCTGATATATACTGGTATATTCAGTAATGTGGCAATTTTTTTCATTTTGAGGAGTAGACAATCAAGAAAATTTGTATAAAAAGCTCCCATCTGGGGCCAAAGTTGTAAAAATAATTAATCACATGATCTGGATATTCATCTTCATATCTAGAGTAATTGATTAGTCAGTATTTATATCTTATCAAGTTTTGAAAGTTTCCTCTCTTCCTCTTCGTAGACTTTATTTACTTTGTGATTAATTACCTAAAATTACTATGTTAAGTGTATATGTCATAAACTTACAGTTTTGATAAATATTTCACTCTGGTTAAAAAAATACAGACTAGTACACTGGGGTATGAAATACCCAACAACACTTTACCTTGCTTTAACAATGACAGATGAGAAATGAGACACAAACTAAGTGGAACAACCACAGCCATATATTTAGTTTAAAGTGAAACAGCCTCAGGCATCTAATACAAAGCCTACATTTGTTTCAGTTCAAGATCAAAGCATCCAAAAGAATCACCAAACTGCTTCTTTTATGTTCCTAGCAAAATTTTATCCTGAGGAAGTGGCAGAGGAATTGGTGCAGGAAGTGACTCAACATTTGTTTTTCTTACAAGTTAAACAGGCCATATTGTCAATGGATGTGTACTGTCCGCCGGAAGCTTCAGTATTATTAGCTAGTTATGCAGTGCAGGCTAAGGTAAGTCATTAAATACTTGTTTATTTAGCATTTTTTAATGAAACTTTCATCATTCTAAAAAAAATGTAATGTTCTGTGTTTGCTGTACATTATTTTTTAATACTCACCATTTCACCTGTAGGTAAACAATGTACCAATACAATAATTCATTGGTATATAATAATTCATCCATAGTATTTATACTTACTCTAGAGGTTAAACGAAAATGGTTGGTGTATAGTGCGAAATTGTATAACAAGGATGAATCATATATTCAAGAAGTATTTAAAACATTGATAAAATGAAAATGGAATCTTGTATGAAGGTTGTCAAGAAAAATTTTGTAGAGAAGAGAAGATCATTCTTTTTACTGAGAGCAGAGAATGGTTCCAAAAGTTGCGCAGATTCCAGAAAAGATAAAACTTAATAAAAACATTAAAATTGTAGAAGCTCATGAGAAAGTACTAACAAAAATGGGTACTATGAACCCAAGTAAGTTTTCAGCTATGACGAGGTAGGCCTATTTTGGAAGAAAATTTCGTAAGAAATGCACATTTGGCTAATATAATCCTGGCAACTGTCAAATTTGTTTTTAAATCACTTGCGGTAATTCTATACATGTCTAAATAATCAAGAAAATGTGACAACTGAAGGAAAGCTCTAAGAAGAACCATAAGGAAGTCACTCAGAACATCTTTTTGACATACTATCTGAACAAAACAGAGAGCAGAGGCTTATTTGTATAAGAAACTACTCCTTAAGTCTTAATGTTTGGAATTAACCTGTGTGACAATAAAAAACTATTTTTTTACAGTACATCGAAAATTTATTTGCCTCGTTTTTCTATTTGCAATTGGAATTAAATCTTATATGTAATATAAATTAAATTATTATTATCAAGGGTCGCTATAAGGTCAAATTCATTGTGTTCAGATGCACAATATAGTTTCAGCTGATTCTTGTTACTCATGCTTTCCAAAAACAAATAATTAACAACTTTAACTTTATTACCATTTTATGATTCATGAATCATTTGACTAATTGTTACAAAAAACATTAATGCAGGCTTACAATACCATGTATAATGATTGTTAAGTTTATCTGGAAAATCTATATACGATACAGAGAATTTTTGCAAAATTATCTAGCGTAATACATATGGCTCAAATTTGAAGATACTTTCTTTATCATTGTGTATAAATATCTTTAATACAGTTTGAAGATTCCAATAGTGCCTACTTTATTACTTGTTAATACATTCCTTTTAGAAGACCTACTGTAATACTGTCTTAAACTGAGTTGAAGGTCAAATATATCAATGTAGAATCTATCAAAACTTTGTTTTAACAATATGTCGCTCAACTCTGAAAATTGCTCTTGGAATAGAAATCAAAGTCTACTCTCACATTCTCAAGATGCAGTGTGTCAAGTAACTTCTGTGTGTATGGAGTACAATGGGTACATATTATATAGCTGTAGGGGAGAGGGTGGGGGGGTCATGATTTTGTTGCCTTAAAACTGAAACATATTGGCTAAGGAAATAAACCACAGACAATATTGATCTGACATATGCCCCCTCAAGGTTTTTCCAATTATTTCTGTTCTGTGCTGTGCAGTTGCAACCCAATGCATAGTAATTTTCTGTATATCATTTGACCCAATCATGAATATAATACAAGAAGCCTTAATTTGAATTTGCCACTTCACAGATTGTCGATAACAGAGAGAAGTCCGTTTGTATGCCTGTGTTAAATTTTATAATAGTCTACCATCGGACATTCAACAGAAAATACACTATAGAGCTTTTAAAAGAACGGTTTGTCAACACCCAGTTGACATTGAGCCCTATACTATAGCGGAGTGCCTGGCCTATCGTTCTCCTTGATCAGCATATTTAATTTGTAATGTTAATATATTTTAAATGTGTGATGTCAATATATATTTTTTTAATGTTTAATTAATAACGTGATGTTATTTGCTCAATTATGTTTAAAATTTATGCAAATAAAATTTACTCTCCTCTACTCATTAGGCGACAGGTCTCTCACGGCTGCATTTATCACTTCTTGACACCAATTGAAGTCCATTTTCTCAGTCCATCTCCCGCCATGTCCCGCCCATCCCTATTTAAATTTTGCAATGCATTCGAGAACATCATCTACTCGTGACCTTCTATTTATCTCCTCTTTTCTTACCCTATCTCTAAGGGTTATATCAAGCTTGAGAGTTCCATTCTTCTTTGAGTCATTTCTGTCTGGCTGATTTTTGAGTAAGGATAACAGTTTCGGCTCAGTATATAAGGACTGGCAAGACAGTTTGAACGCGCCTATTTTGATGCCGATGGGCACAACCGATTTGTAGATGTATTTTAATACATCTTGGTAGCTCACTTCTCTGGTTTTCTCTGCTGATTTTCACTTCACATCCCAGATATGAATATTTGCAAGTGAGCTCAATTTCTTTTTGCCTGATCTTAATGTTGTGACTGAACACTAGGCTGAAGAAATTAATTTAGTTATAGTCCGCGAAATTGTTGTCTGAGCCTAATTTTAACACATTGTCACATATCATTTACAAACTATTAAACACAAGCCTTTAACAATTATAAATTTCGCAGAGATTTTCTGACAGTCACTGCTTTTCGTTATCTAGTACCAAAGCCAAGAGGTATCGATCAACCCTCGTATGTAAATATATTTTCTAGCAACACCTCGTATTTTATTTTCGACACGAAATCTTAAATTGTTAAAAACATTGTTTAAAAATTTAAAAGTTGACCAGGCCTTACAGTATTTTTTATAAGATGTTCAAATTATGGGCAATGTGTTCAAAATGAATTTTATGTTTATACAGTTTGGAGATTTTGATGAAGATACCTATAAACCTGGTATGTTAGCGAGTGAAGACTTGTTGCCTCAACGGGTAATAGACCAATATCAGATGACGTTAGAGATGTGGGAAGAACGAATCAGAGTCTGGTATGCGGATCACAGGGGGATGTCTCGAGACGAAGCTGAGATGGAGTATCTTAAGATCGCCCAGGATCTGGATATGTACGGTGTTAATTACTTTCCGATATTAGTAAGTATACAGGTACATGTACAACTACAAATGTTTGGGAATTCAATGTGCTAGAGAGAGAGAGAATAGGGAAATCAATGTGTTAGAGAGAGAGAGAGACGATTTTTGACAGTTGACGTAACAGATGTCATATTACAGAAGGGTTCTTCTTATGAGACTACATTATAATGCGCTCCCTAACTTTCGCGTGATTGGTTGGTGGGTGGGTCCCAATTTAAAAATTGGCGGGTTTCATGTTTATTAAAATGACAATAAAATTGAGGTATTGTGGCACAGTATATCGCTAAACAATGTATTAGCAATATATTGTGGTATTTGTACAAAGCGGATGATATTCACATTTTAGGATTAAGCTGACTAGTACAGTTTTATTAGAAATTAAAATTTATTTTTCTTTTGACATTATGTAGGTAAAATTAAATTCAGACATTGTGTTTATTTAATTTTGATATGCTAGTGATGCTTTTTTTTATTAGATATATAGATATTGTTTTAATTTTTTTGTTTAGGTAATTTTTTATTAAGATTCTTTTATTAAGATTATTAAGATAGAGGTTCCTCTTATTATTTTTATTTCTAGAACATTCATTACCATTATTATTCTCATTAGCTTTCTCTATGTGGAATCGGCTTCTCTAAATATTTTCCTCTAAACTTTTCTGTTCTCTTCCAGGGACTAAGTACCTCTCCGCTTTTTGTATGAGATTATGGTTTTTCAGAAACATGTAATTTCTGTTCATCCCCTTTTTTACTGCCCTACATTCAGTACCATACATCATAGCTGGTCTAAAGCCAGTCCTATACAATTTACCTTTTAGTTTTCTTGGTACCTTTTTTATCATACATCACTCAATTTGCCTCTTTCCTTTACCTTTAATTGAAATATTAGAGATAAAACGGTAATACCAATCCTAAAAGCCGAACATTATCATCTTTTATGAGTTCTTGTCTATCCAAGCCTACTACTCTATCTGGTCTTGAAATTTCATCTTTAAAAGAATATTCTAAATATTTTGTTTGTATCCAACTTAATTTTAATCATTTTTCTTCAAGGACCTGTCTCCGCTACTCTTTTCTACTAATATCCAGGAGGTTCAGTTGTTATCTAATCCAGCACAAATGAGAATAAATATGGGCAAAACCCTGATTTTCACCCATTTTTACACAAAATTTGCCAGTTTCACCTGTAATTGTTCTAACACTATAATAGTTGTTTTAACACTATTATAGTTGTTACTTGCTCATACTCCACTCACATATTCAGCCGGCACTCCTTTCCTACTTAATCTCTGCCACAGTAGGTTTCTGATATCTTCATCATGTGCTTTCTCAAGTTTAATAATACAATGTAAATTCACTCTAAATTGTTAAATTAGTTCTTTTAATAAAAATTGCTTGTTGTAGACCTGCCTTGCCTAAATCCAAATTGACATTTATCCATTTTCATTTTTTAGAACCTTACACTGAATTCTGTTAGATTTTACCACAAATGTAGGATAATAAAAAGATATATTGTGAATTGAGTGCTATGAAAAATTGTCATTGTCAACAAAATGAAGCAGAGGTTTACTGGAAATAACGATTGCAAACCAAATAAAACACTAAATAGCTATATCTAAAATATCTTTATTCTTTATTAAAAATCTGGGAAATCAAAGGAGGGGGGGCCGTTATTGGTGCAATGGCGAAGGAAAACCCCTCTAAAGCTCTTCTAAATTGTATAGGACTGCCTTTAGACCAGCTATGATGTATGGTACTGAATGTAGGACAGTAAAAAAGGGGATGAACAGAAATTACATGTTTCTGAAAAACCATAATCTCATACAAAAAGCGGAGAGGTACTTAGTCCCTGGAAGAGAACCGAAAAGTTTAGAGGAAAATACTTAGAGAAGCCGATTCCACATAGAGAAAGCTAATGAGAGTAAGAAATGGATCAACGCATTGTCGCCAATATTTGTTTGAGATTAGAGTTGTATATTAAACATAAACACCCTATTCGATTTGGCTTTGTAACTATTTTCTTGTGGGATTTTAGTATTATCTGCTATATTTCAAGGAAATTAACAATTTTAATTGAAAAATATGTTTATTTAGACGTCTCGATTTCCACTTTGGAAATCGAGCAGCAAGAAATTTCCTTAGTGGAAATAGAAACATATTTTTAAATCAATATTCCCTTGGTTAATTCCCTTGAAAGATAGTAGAATACTACGTTTTGAAACCCTGTACATACTATATCACGTTATTTTTCAGAATAAGAAAGAGACTGAACTATGGCTCGGCGTCACGGCGTTGGGTTTGAATATATACGAAAAAGAGAATAAACTTCAACCGAAAACAACGTTCACGTGGTCAGAGATTCGACACATCAGCTTTGACGACAAGAAGTTTATTATTAAACCAGTGGATAAAAATGCCCCAAATTTCGTATTCTTTAGTCAAAAGGTTAGGATGAACAAATTGGTAAGTAAATAATTTTTTTTATTCGCTTAGAAATAGAAAAAATGAGTTTTTCTTTAAAAATTTAAAAATTCATTTATAATTTTATATTTTTTGATTTATATTAGATTTTTTGGCCTTTTTTCTAACGTTTCTCAAGTTACCAAATTTTGTCTGCCGAAAGTCAAAAAAATACCAGAATTTGCCAATATCATCAATTTTTTTATATAATAATAGCGCCTTCGCCTTTTTTTAACGTTTCTAAAGTAACCAAATTTCGTCTGCGGAAAGTTAAAAAAATACCAAAATTTGCCAGTATCACCAGTTTATTTTATATAATAACAGCGCCTTCGCCAAAATGAAATTTCACCAGATCAGAAATTGTGAAGTCAACTCCTATCCTTTATATATGTACATGAAACCAAAAGAAAAATTTTCCCAGACACTGCCATAGTCTGTCTATTTTTGTTGAAAGAAAAAGTTATAAATTTTTTAAGATTTTGGATATGTAAAAGTATGAAGGAACCAAATCTGGCTATTAGGTGAAATTTGTTCTTAAATTATTCAATTTTCCCATATAGTCCAGGCTGTGAGGCCGCTCCCGTTGGGAAAATGTTTCTGATTCGGTTTCTTCGCGGATTCCGGTTCAAAAATGTCCCTTTAAACAAATCTGAAGGGTGCCGGGCGAAATTTTTGGGCAGAAATTGTTTAAACAATTTTTTTTAAACAAATTCCAAAAATATTTTTTTTAATCTGGAAAAATATCGTTTTTTTAGGTTTTTTGGGTCATTTTAAACAAAAAAGGTCTCTTGTCATTTTTCTCTAAAGTTGATAGTTTTCGAGTTATAAGCGATTTAAAGTCTGAAAAACGCGAAAATACGCATTTTTGAGGCTTGAAAACACATATGTAAATTATTATTTTTGAGGTTACCAAGTGTCTAAATTGAAGTTTAAACATTCAACTTCAAGATTGTGAAGAGTAATCGGGGCTTATTTTAATTTAGACCGTTGTTTTTTAATTGTTAAATATGCGCGTACACTCGATTTTTCAGCCGCCGCGGCGCGGCGCGCTAGAGTGCGCTTCTATCGTACTTATGCATAGTTTACATATACACTTACGCAAAAAAACCCGAACAAATCCTTGAAGTTTATTAACATAGTTTTTTCCATAATTTATTTATGTAGGTATTAATTATTGTCATTGGGCTAATTAAATAAATCAATCATCGCAATGTAATAACCGTATATAGTTTTTTTTTTCTTCCAAATTTGAACAATATAATTATTATTTATTGAGTATATATTTATTTATATCAATTGTAAATAATATTTTTAAATTATTATTTAAATAATACAATGCAGTAAATATTAATATTAGTAAACTTAATTTTAAATTGCGCGGTGTTTAAAAACAATATACTATCGCAAAAATGCAAGTTTTTACCTGTTTAACAATCGCGCGCTCATACTTGATTTGTTATTACTTAAACGATCATTAGGAAGACTATTGTTTAATGCCCATTAAAAGGGTATTATATTATTAATGTGTTATTAAAAAAATTGTGAATGGATTTAAAATGTCTTTTTCCGTACCTCTTCTTAAATGAAAACTTACCGAAGAAAATTTAGTTTGTATTTTTTGTAATAACATCAACAATATTAAGTTAGTGCAAAAACCTAAAGTAGATTTTTACATAACAATACAAAATGCTGCTCTTCGACGAAAAGACAGTGTGACTGAAAAATTTAATTTAATCTAGCCAATATACCTTGTACCTCTGACGCACTTTACCAACACTTGTTAAGAGCTTTCGCTAAAACATATATTTGGCGAAATGCCATATATTCCCGCTATCAAACTCTCGATTTTACACAATATGGATATTATATGTCTGATAGTGGTGGGTTGGGAAACCGTGCAAATGCAAAAAGACTTGCAAAACTAATGCTTGCAACTGCAAGAAAAATCATGTCAACTGTGTACCATTATGTGGATGTGATTTAGATTTTTGTGAAAACAAAGATACTTTTACTGAGTGATATTAGTGTGTTATTTAACAATCTTTTGTACAATTATTTTATGTAACTATTATTAGACTTTAGACGAAATTTATATTATAACTCAATTGATATAAATAAATATATACTCAATAAATAATAATTATTTGTAAGTATATGTAAACTATGCATAAGTACGATAGAGGCGCACGGTAGCGCGCGGCGCCGCGGCGGCTCAAAAATCGAGTGTACGCGCATACTTAACAATTAAAAAACAACGGTCTAAATTAAAATAAGCCCCGATTACTCTTCACAATCTTGAAGTTGAATGTTTAAACTTTGATTTAGACACTTGGTAACCTCAAAAATAATAATTTACATATGTGTTTTCAAGCCTCAAAAATGCGTATTTTCGCGTTTTTCAGACTTTAAATCGCTTATAACTCGAAAACTATCAACTTTAGAGAAAAATGACAAGAGACTTTTTTTGTTTAAAATGGCCCAAAAAACCTAAAAAATTTTCCAGATTAAAAAAAAATTATTTTTGGACTTTGTTTAAAAAAATTGTTTAAACAATTTCTGCCCAAAAATTTCGCCCGGCACCCTTCAGATTTGTTTAAAGGGGACATTTTTGAACCGGAATCCGCGAAGAAACCGAATCAGAAACATTTTCCCAACGGGAGCGGCCTCACAGCCTGGACTAATAGTCAAAGCGTCTTTTTCCATGAAAGTTCCTATAAAGAATTTGATACAGGGTTTTGGTAAAGGTTTCTCTAGAGTTCTTAAACAGACTGTCGAATTAAAGATCACAAACTCGTTTTCGTCTCATTCTACATATAAACTTAGTCTCTTTCTCTTCAAGAATATGTACCATTTAAATTTCAACCTCTAGAAGAGAAAAGTATAGTTAAGCTGGATTTATAGTTTGACGGACTGTAGACGCAGACGCACTGGAAAAAGATCAACATACACTTTTGTGTACTTATTTATAAATGAACGTAAACGCAAGACGGGACGTAAGCGAAACGCACTGTAACGGAAGAGTTGGTTAACTTTCATCTTTTACAGTGCGTTACTTGCGTCTGGCCAATCAAAAGGAAGAATTTTGTGCTGTCAACCAAAATGAACTGTCTGGCACGTCCACAATTTTGTAAAGTTGCTTATTAACATATCCGAATTTTTATTTTGTTGATTATTTGTTACAATGCACGTTAAGAATTTATAAAATAATAATAATAAATAATAAAATGATATTATAATATCATGGTCACCAACTCTAGCCGCTGTTTCTACTCATGCGCAAAAATTCCACTCCGTCGATTTATAAATTGAAATTATATTTACAGTCCGTTTGTTACGTTTCCAGTGCGTCTACGTCTACAGTGCGTCAAACTCTAAATCCAGCTTTACTTTTTGGTTCTCTGGCATAAGATTTATTAACTTTTAATGTTTAATTAGGTTAAGTAAATTAAATTATTTACCAGCCTAACCTAAATTAATTTTTTGTTTGATAACTACTGTTTTATCTTTAAAAAACAGGACGTGGCACTCCGGGAGTTACCTAGAGGGGGAGCATGGCATTCTTGTCGTCTAGGCACGAAACGATGACTTTTAATTTAATTTATTTGTTTTTTTTTTATATTTTATATTATTTTATTTTATTTTTATTTTATTTAATTTGATTCGGGTCGGTTTAATTAGATTTAATTTTTTTTTAACTATTGTTAGTTGTATTTAATGTAATTTTATTTTATTTTAATGTATTTTATTTTATTTTATTTTATACAAAAAATTTAAAATTAAAACTAGCCAAATTGACCCCGTCGTTCCAAGTTGTTAAAAAAGTTAAAAAATATTATAAATATTAAAAAATGTTAAAAAATAAAAAATAAAATAACGTTTGTTAAACGTCATTTTATTTTTATAATAATTGTATATGTATAGTATTTACTATTATGTATATATTCCGCGTCACTTTAATATTATTTTAGGCCAGTGCAAAAACATCATATTGAGCGTTAAGAGATATTCACTTAAAAAAATTCCTTCCTCCTATCTTAATTGTAGTCGTCTTATTATATCGGTTATTATAATTAATATTGCTAAGTTATTGAGTTTTTTTACCATAATCATTCTCTTCTTGTGCAGTTCTCATTGACCTGATCATTTCTTTGGAACCATCGAAACTCCCTTATCCACTCCCTGCAGTCTCTAAGATCAGTTCCTATCGCCTCTAATTATACTCTCATCATCTTTGTTCTCTTCACACTTGAATATCTCTGATTTTACCGTCTCATTTCCGTCTTCCGTAAATATCATGCTCAATCCATTTTCTGTGTCTCCAGGCTCTTTTTTGCAAAATTTTGCAACATTGGTTCTCAACGTTGACGTTATTAACAATGTGTGATAATATTGTTTCTTTGTAATAGTCACCTGTCAACAAGTATACCATTGCCATGTCTAAAATTAATGAACTGAATTTTTAACTCGTGCTTCATTCGTTCTATTCTCCAGATTTAGCTTCCAGCGATTTTTATCTATTTTCAACCATAAAAATTAAGAAGCATAATTTTATTAATCTGTTTTGTTGTTGAAAAAAACTTGTGTTTTCTACAATAATGTCTTAACTTCCTTCTTGTGTCCTTTATATTAAATTTATAGTAAATTCTGCTTATACTTTTGGCAGATATTAGACTTATGTATGGGCAATCACGATCTGTTTATGCGACGACGAAAACCAGACTCTATGGAACTGCAACAGATGAAAGCGGCTGCTAAAGAAGAAAAACAAAGACGACAGGTGCAAAGAAATAGACTGGCAAGAGAAAAGCAGTTACGAGAAGAAGCCGAGCGCGAGAGGGCGAGCATGGAGCAGAGATTGCTTCAGTATCAAGAGGAGATACGGTTAGCTAACGAGGCTTTGGTAAGCATGGCAAAGTTTTAACTATGTTATTTTTATTATATATCTGTACTACATATTTATTTTATTCTTTTATTTATTTTAAACAAAATAAAATAGTCTAAAATACTCTTAACCTCCTTACTTACTTTTATACCGTATATAGAAGAGTTATTTATCGGTAATGTAATAAAATTCATAGACAAGGTCGTTGAAAGTTAAATTTCATTTTACTGTGTGTGGTCTATTTTATTATTTTATATAAACTCAAATCACAATTTACTCTGCTCCAAAATACGAATAAAATTTAAAAAATTAACATTTAACATTATCAAAATATTTCGACCCCCTTAGAAACACCCAAACACGTGCACACATGCCGCAGCAGATAAATAGAAAAAACACAAAATAAATAATATAAAAACGAAAACAGAACCATTCACGAATGTTGGTATGTTTAAAACGTTCCTCCAAAATCGAGTAAAACTCGATTAGAGATCGAAATTAGCTCGATCGAGAGAGTAATATTGGCAAAAAATTAGTGGATAACACAAGAAATCCTATACCTGATGGAAGTTCGTCGGAAACATAAAAATAGAAATATTAATAAATACCGCTAAATTTTTCTTCTTCTTTTGGCTATAATTATTTTATTAACTGATGCTTCAAATAGATTAGTTCCTCTTGGGAGAATCATTTCCTCAGGTTTTTTAACCATGATATTCTTAAAAAAAAAAATTTGTTAAAATCCTTTATAAAAGGTATATAAAATTGCCTCAAACGGGCTATCACAAACACATTGCAAAACGTTTTCGGATTAAACAATCCATCATCAGTGCAAACGGTTGTACATGCTAGTAGCCACCAAAATATATGGCTAAAAACCCCTTAAAAGTTATAAATTTGAAATTATTTTACATTATTAGTGTTTCTAATTTGTGATGGTTAAGTTACCGTTGGATAGGTAACATGGCGGCGTATGACTCTACATGAGTAAAATGGTATTAAACAACTGAGTTGTTATACATGAGTAAAAACAACTGAGTTGTTATCAACAGGTCCTCGTAGGCACTTCGTCTCAGGACCATTTTACTCATGTAGAGTCATACGCCGCCATGTTACCTATCCAACGGTAACTTAACCATCACAAATTAGAAACACTAATAATGTAAAATAATTTCAAATTTATAACTTTTAAGGGGTTTTTACCCATATATTTTGGTGGCTACTAGCATGTACAACCGTTTGCACTGATGATGGATTGTTTAATCCGAAAACGTTTTGCAATGTGTTTGTGATAGCCCGTTTGAGGCAATTTTATATACCTTTTATAAAGGATTTTAACAAATTTTTTTGTGATATATGGTATACAGCCAGCTACAGGAACTTAGTTTCCTCGTGGAATTTCATGATATTCTTCTTCTCCCCACTTACCCGCTTTCCGAATACTTTGCCTTGAAGGATTATTTTCAGTAATCTGTGTTTAGTGCCGTTTCTCAATATGTATCCAAGATACTCTAACTTTCTCCTTTTAATCGTATACATCACTTCTCTTTCTTTCTCTATTCTTCGTAGTACAGTCTCGTTAGTTATCTTGTCACACAATAATTACAATCTTGGATTTTTTTTTCTGTTATGTTACAGCGAAAATCCGAAGAAAGTGCGGATCTTCTAGCAGAAAAAAGTCGAGTAGCTGAAGAAGAAGCGAGACTCTTAAGCCAAAAGGCCGCCGAAGCTGAACAAGAAATCATAAGATTAAGACTGACAGCGATGAGAAAAGACGAAGAAAAGGTAAGTCTCTCCCTATATTTTGTATTTACAATTTACAAAATAAATCTTTGTTTTATGTTGATTATTAATATTAATAACATTATTGTAGCAGTGATGTGCTTACACTATAAGTCTATTTTAACATATAGTCCTTTACAACTATACGAGACATTCTTCTAAGCTTCTTCTTCGAATTTTGCGACCCTTTGGCCGATTTTCCTTAGGCGGTCCTTGTCCATTCTCCGCTTGAGCCGAAATTTGAGGTCAACATTGTTGTTCATTCTTAGCTCCTAGCTTGTTCATTCTATTTTATATTATAGATAACATCATAAAAAACTCATTGTGTCCAAGACTGAGATGTAGTGCATAAAAGTCCTTCCCCTTTTAAATTTAATGTTTGTTTCGTCCCTTCTAAGTGTTTTCTGTTTTAGTGTGTTTTAAATTGTCCTTAATTGTTTTAATTCTAATATTTTATTTACTCAACTTTGTAATAATCTACTATTTTGCCAATAGAACTTTATCAAAGAAATTTGATAATTACAAGTTGAAAAATAATTGCACACCCACACAATTTGTACATCTAAATTTATTCATTGTCATAAAACTGTCACCTTCATAAAACAAGTACTCAATAAATTACACACATTTCATAAATATATCTCTCGAATAAATATAAATAACTTTTAAATAATACAATGGTATATAACATCACTTTCATTTAACAAACAATCACACACATATCTCTGCTTCATTGGATCAAATCTATCTCCTCAAGAACTTCCCGTTTACTGTCAAACAACTACAATAGCAGAATTGAGTTCTCCATTCAACAATACATAGTAGTTTCAACCATGTTCTACCCTCCATTAATTAATAGAGTACCGGCATCATTTATTTAACTTTGTATCGAGACCTGAAGATGCTTTGCATATTATAGAAAGCGAAACCGGTCGTCTGATAGTTAAATTAAATTGATTGTGAGTAAGTCTTATTTATTATTTCTTTACCTATTTCATCTTTTTTATATTCACTCATTAGACTGCCCTTTTCATTTAAGCTTATTTTGATCGTTTTTAGGTTTCTTTAGAAAGAAAGACAAGAGAAGCAGAAATGCTAACGGCTCGACTTGTCGAAGAATCTGAAAAGAGGGCAGCAGAAGCGAATAAGCTCAAAGACGAGCTGCTGAAGGCCAGAGCAGCGGAGAAACAAGCTAAAGAAAAACTTTTAGACTTCCTAAGTCGTACCACGTCTTACAATGGATCCAATACAGTGTCTCCTATTTCTGTAAGTGAATTAATTTGAAGTTGTGCGAAATTCTAATAATCTTTTTTTTAGTCCGTTACAACCTTGTATCAACCTCCGTTAAGTCCCAGTTACTGTCCAGAATTGTCGATCATAGAAAATGAAATGTCTACGTCTCCAGATCTTAATTTGAACATCACTTCCTACGATTTGATAGCCAATGCGGATGCAGACCAGCTCTCGTTGGAAATAGAAAAAGAAAGGTAAGCTAATTTTAGTCGTTGAAAACACGCGACGTGGTTTTTTTGAGTAAGTGTTGTTTTGTTTTGTTAGACATTCTCTTACAATAATGTTAGTATTTGTTAGACTGTTAAAGACATAGTTTCTATTTGCACCCTTAAACTTGTAACGAAATATTTTGCCTACCACATAGCGTGTTACTATGGGGGTTGAAATCTTGAGACAGAAATTATTCGGGGTAGGATAGGGCAAGCAAAATAAACGATATTTATGCGAACGGCACTCAGGGTTTATTTGGAGAGCTGGGGTCGTGGATAATTGAATGAAGCAATGAGATTATATAGAGGCAACTACAAAAAAGAAACAATACGAGGGTATTTACATGAGTCTCCTGGACAAATGGTCAAAATACAACAAAAAGGACCTATAGCTAAAATGACGCCGCTTCGAAGGATCCTCCTGCTGGATGAAGAATAAAGGCTTTCCTTCCTAAAAAAGAATTACAAAAGGGGCTAAAAGACTTTTCTCTAAAATAAATAGACAAAATGGTTTAAAAAATAAATTAAACATTTATTGTTGTCTCACTACAAACAGTTACAAAATCAAATAATACATAATCACTATATTAATAGTCACAAAAGTAAATACAAAAATCATCATCATCATCATCCAGCCTCTATTTATCACGTCCACTGCTGGACATAGGCCTCCCTTAAACTCCTCCATTCCTCACGATTTTGTGCTCTTTGTTGCCAATTTTTAGTGATACGCCTGATGTCGTCGGCCCAACGTGTAGGTGGTCTTCCTCTACTGCATTTGTCTGCTATTGGCCTCCAATTTGTAATTTTGCTCGTCCATCGTGAATCGTGCATTCTCGCTACATGGCCTGCCCAGTTCCATTTTAGTTTCGCTATGCGTTCCACAACATCAGTAATACTCGTCCTTCTTCGCAGATCTTCGTTTCTTATTCGGTCCCTCAACGTCACTCCCAGCATAGACCGTTCCATTCGTCTCTGTGCCACTCTCAGTTTCGAAGCCGTGGTCTTGGTTAAAGTCATAGTTTCCGCCCCACAGGTCATGACCGGTAATACGCATTGGTCAAACACTTTTCTTTTGAGGCTGATTGGTATGTTGGCCCTAAGTGTGTCTCGCAGTTTTCCAAAGGCTGCCCATGTTAAAGTAATTCGTCTTTGGATCTCACATGTTTGGTTATCCCTGCTGATTCTTATTTCATGACCCAAATACGTATATTTCTCCACCAGTTCTACCACTTTGTCTTGAATAGTCAAATGGTTATTGGGGACCAAATTTGTCATAAACTTAGTTTTGGTCAAGTTCATTCTCAGGCCCACCTTCGAACAAGCAAAATCCAATTCGTTTAACATATCTGTAGCTTCTCCTAAATTATCTGTGATAAGGACAATGTCATCTGCGAAACGGAGATGGTTAAGCTTTTCGCCGTCTATCGTTACTCCTCTGTGGTCCCAATTGATCATCTTAAAGGCATATTCTAATGCCGTTATGAATAATTTCGGCGACAATGTATCTCCTTGCCTTATTCCATGATTTATTTTTATTGGTCGGGTTTTATTGTCTATTTTAACAGTCATAGTGGCATTTTTGTAAATATTATAAATAAGCTCACTATACCTATGGTCAATCCTGCTGTCATTCATTGCTTCTATAAGGCTGTCTAATTCGATCGTGTCGAACGCTTTATGAAAATCTATGAAAGTGAGAACAAGAGGTTTGTTATATTCTATAGATTTTTCAATGAGTGTCTTTACTGTGTGGAGGTAATCATTGGTACCATAATTTGAGCGGAATCCTGCCTGCTCTCTCGGTTGGTAGAAATCTAATTTTTTCTCCAATCTTGATGTCACTACCCTAGTGAAGAGCTTGTATATGTGGTTCAACAGGCTAATAGGTCTATAATTTTCTAGGTCCGTTCTATCTCCTTTTTTATGCAAAAGGATGGTTGTAGCATTGTTCCACTCTTTGGGCACCTCTCTTTGCTGCAAACATAGATTGAATAGTTTCCTTAATTTATTTAATAGCATATCTCCTCCATTTACGATAGCTTCTATTACGATTCCATCCTCTCCTGGGGCTTTGTTATTTTTCATTTTTCTTAATGCTTGTCGAATCTCATCTAGCTTTATCTCTGGCATTAGTTCGGATCCTTGATTCTTGATCTTCTTTGAAATGGCTGTTTGTATTCCTGTTTTATCTTCTCGTCTACTTTTATATAAGTCCTCGTAAAACTCTTCGACGACCTGTATTAACTCGTCTCTACGTGATATTATTTCATTTTGCTTGTTTCTTAATTTATGAATTTCGCATTTCCCATTCGTTAGCTTTCTACGTAGAACTTTTAGGCTGTTATTTTCCTCTATGGTGCGTTTAATATAATCGGTATTAAATTTCCTTAAATCTCTCCTAATTGCTTTCGAAACAGTTTTGTTCATTTTTCTTAAAGTGTTGCTATCTACATTATATATTTAAATACAAAAATAACAAAGAAAAAACTTACGTATGTCAAATATTCGTTTACAAACTCTGTTTACAAGTGGGAGATGCTACAAAACTTACAAAAAATTGTTACCTGGGCTATAAACTGTGGCAGAAATAAATCATTATAAATAAAAGATGATAAGCTATGTGTAGAGGTTAACCTTCTTTAAAAAAATCAGAACAAACTAATGTCAACAAATAATAAAGCTAGTTGCTAGTTGTCATATGTCAGCATTAAATTTTACAACAGAGAACAAATAAATGACAGCAATGGCAACACCTTAAAATTTACAATATTAACTATTACAATTTAAATTGTTATGAAAGCAATTATTATTTTAAACTGTTTATTTTTACTTTAAGAGTTCAAACAAAAAAGTTACCTGGATTTCATTGTATAACTTTAAATTTCTGAGGTTTGTGAGCTGGAATTTAAACTACTTGCAACACGAACAAATTCATCTCCACTGGGAAAAGTATTCTGAAACGGCTTCTTAGTTAGGACGAATACAAATCTGAGGTTGAAAGTTGGGATATTGGAACACACCTTTGACTCGGCTTCTTACAAAACTGGAATAATGTAAAACTGGACACAATGGCAACATGTGGTTATCTTTCACAATTGTTACAAACGACACAAATCTCTTAGATACATAGAAATAGTGATTACTCTTTTAAAACTGACATATTCTTCAATCAACCAATCGCGTCCACTGCTGGACATAGGCCTCCCTCAGTTCTTTCTTGTGTTCTCTACACTGGGCCGCTTGTAGCCAGTTTCCCGCTACACGTTTTATATCATCGGTCCATCTAGTCGGTGGCCGTCCTCGGCTTCTTTTATAGTTTCTGGGCCTCCATTCCATAATACGTCTTGTCCACCGTCCATCTTGTGCTCTGGCTAAGTGCCCTGCCCAGTTCTACTTAAGCGACGTGGTTCTTTCGATGACGTCTTGAACTCCTGATCTTTGCCTAATTTGTTGGTTTGTTATGTGGTCTCGAAGGCTCACGTTCAGCATTACACGTTTCATGGCTCGTTGTGTAACTCTGAGTCATGTGGTAGCGGGTAGGTACTCTTCCACAATACCAGTGGAGGATAGACTTACTTCAGAGATGCGATCCTGCCCTACCCGAGCCTTGATTCTCTCTCATCTCCTGTGGATAGAAATCATGTCCTAACCCCATTCCTACCCAATACCTACTATTTCCTGCCAATTTCCCAAACCAACTCGCCAACCCGCTTGGCAAGCGTGGTGTTTAAATGCCAAAACCCCCTCAGCATGAAAAACTGATATATTACATAAAGTATAAAAATAATTCAATATTTTCTACAAATTTGCCGGTTTTTGACCGAGTAACTAAAACGTCTGCATACTTTCGTTACCATTTTCAACCTAAACTTGAATTCCCCTTGATCGATCTACCTAATACCGGCTGGGGCTACCAGTTTTTGCGTCTCCACTCTTCACCTCTTCTTAATCCAAAATTTCTCTTTTAAACCATTTCGACTATCTCGCAAAACGACCTTGAATCACTTTCAGCTTTAAAACTAATAGGTACAAATAAACAAAATTATATTTTGGAATTCTTTTCTTTTACCTCACAATGTAAACAGAATTTGGGAGTATTTATTACTTAACCCAGGGACGTACTACAAAATTTCTCGTAATTCATCACGTGACGACCAATCATCTCTGTAACTGCATTTTCTTTATACCGATTAATAAATTAACTCCAAGAAATGTTTTTCTTTCGTCTTCTGTGGTAGGTGTAAATCCATTTCCTCCTCCGTGTTTTTGAAGGTAATAGATTGGTTTGAAATACAATTAGGTGAATTAGATCCTCAGGAAATAATTCCAAAAACATATCTGTGGGGTTCTTTGCAGAATTTGGAATGTTTGGGCCTCTAGTTTCAATACATTGATTTGTTTGTGTTATATAATTTTCATTTTGGGTCCAAAATATAGAGGTCGAGTCCGATTCTTGATTATTTGGATTGTTGGTTGTTTCATCTTGATTGTTAATTTGGTCTTCAAAACACAATGTCCATATTTCCAATATCGAAGACATCCTCATTATTTGATCGCTGAAATTCATCACATCCAATTCACAGAATAATCATCAAATTCATCAAAATAAACAATCAGAATGCCCATTCTCAGATGCCGTCTTTGAAGTTTGTCAGCACGCGAACGCCATGTTTTAGACGGAAACATAGACTCAAACTGAGACATTTATGACAAGCTATGACAGAATTGTAATTTAAATTTTTAGAGATTAATAATTCAGTACATTTGAAATAATTTAATCTATTCTTCAACTAAAAGTACAAATAAAATAGTGCATATTATGTCTGTAGTTGCCGTAAATAAATTTAACCAGGTTCATTTGTGGGCAAATTCTGATTGTTTATTATTCTGTGTCCAATTCATCTCCCAAAACGCTTTCAATATCAGAAACAATTGACTCCTGGTTACTTGGAATTTGGACTTATTCATATAGGAAGTGCCCTGTGGTCGTGCCACAATACCACATAAAAAACAGTGATCTACAAAATAAATTGAAATGTATTCATGCAAATAACAGTAATTAGTGTGAAACAGCCTTCAAAAATATCACTTACCCGTAATTTTTGTAATTAATAATAATTGAATAAGCAAGAAAACAATTAAAATATGTCACTCTGTCATCACCGAACGTCCTCTTCAAATGTGTGCTCGACTAATTATTTTATCTAGTCAACGTGATTCAATCAAATCGGTTCTAAACTAGTTAGACACTTAGAATATAATATAGGCAACCAATTTTACACAATGGTGTAACTGTAAAACCGCTGGGAAGTTTAAAAACAATGTTTGTAAAGGTGGTTATCTCAGCATACCAGCGGTCGTCAAAGGGTTGAAAGTTTATTTCATTATTATAATTAATTTTATTATCATGTTTTTGCCAAGTTATAAAATATAACTAACTAAAAATTTATTTTTTGGCACTGATGATTTATGTGTTTACGTTTTGTTTCAGGATTGAATATCTAGAAAAATCAAAGCACCTCCAAAACCAGCTCCGAGAACTTCGGAGTGAAATCGCTGTGTTAAAGGTCGGCGACAAACATAATGACTACGACCATCTACACGACGAACAAGTAAAATTGGGCGAAAACAAATATTCTACACTAAAAAAAAGCAAGTCTGGTTCCACGAAAAGCAGGGTTGCATTTTTTGAGGAATTATAGCAGCGCTTCATTGTTTTTATGAATAGATATAATTTATATTTGACAATAATTTTAGGGATAATTGAAAATAAATATTTTTTAAATAATTATACTGTGTTTTTTTCCTTTTATTGAATAAGTCAATGGATTCCCGTGTGTGGTATGTATTTGCTCCAATAGCTGGGTAACGTTTCAATCGACCGATGATCGTACACAACATTTTAACATTTCATGTACATAAATTAAACAAGTATATACCTTATACCTATATATAAATAAAACCTTCGTTAATAATAGCAACTCCAAAGTAGTATGTAAACAACACCGCATCAATTAAAACAGGTGGCAAACTTAGTGAGAAATTCAACACTACGAAAGGGCTACGACAGTGATGTTGTTTATCACCTACGCTGTTTAAAATATTTCTGGATCGATCTCTACAACAGTGACAAAGACAATGCAGAAATATGGGAATACAAATAGATGAGGATATTCTCTATACACTATTCTTCGCTGATGACCAACTGGTGGTAGCAGAAGATATAGACGACCTCAGCTATATGGTTAGGAAACTACAAACAGCGTACGAAGAATGTGGACTGACAATGAACTTACAAAAATGCGATTATCTCTCAGTGCGGAAAAATACAGTCGAAGACCTGACATTGGAGAGTGACAAAATCAAAGGAACAAATAGAGTAAAATACCTAGGAGTAGTGTTTACAAAAGACGGATATAGTCATGAAGAAATAAATACAAGAATAAACAAAGGCAGAAAACATTACCAAATGCCTAAACTCCATTCTCTGGGATAAAAAAAAATCACAAGAACGACGAAAAAACGAATATATAAGACGATGGTTGAGCCGGTGGTAACATACGGAGCAGAGATATGGGACACTAGTAAAAGAAACAGGAAAAAAATTACAAGCTACCGAGATGGATTTTATGAGAAGAGCTGTAGATTGACAAGGATGGACAGAATCCGCAATTAAGAAATAAAACGTAGAATGGAGCAAGAAAAAGACATTATAGATGAAGTCCAGAAAAAACAACTAACTTGGTTCGGTCATGTAAACAGAATGGCAGACGAGAGGTGGCCAAAGAAAATATTAAAACGGATCCCAACCGAAAGAAGGAAAAAAAGGCGTCCAAGAAGAAGCTGGCGAGATGACGTGAATGAAGCCATGGAAGGAAGACAGCTAAATGAAGCCGACACCCGAGATAGGAAACGATGGAAACTAGGGACAGGAAAACAACGACAGTTGTAAACAACCTGTACTATATATATATATATTATATATATATATATTATATAATATATTATATATATATATATATATATATATATTTGTTATGATGTGTTGTTGTTGTATGAGCTATGATTAAATTTGAAATGATATAACGTATGTATAGGTTTTTTTATCGCGGTTCTCAAAGAATTAGTTTGTAAGCACTTTTTTAAATTATCTTTATTATAAATATTATGAAACAAACTATCTATCTAATATAAGCAATATTAATTCAACACAATCTATCTAAAATTTGAAATTCTTACAATAATTAAATTATTAACAAAATTTGGTACCTTCTTTCACTGAACGCCTAAAGTTTTTCCAACATTAAAGTTATCACCACTCGATATCTTCTTACTAAGCCTTGGTTATTCTACTCATTTTATTATGTTCCTTATTAATTATCTCCACTCACCATATAAATATATATTTAACTCCTTGTAATTTCCATACACTTAATGTACTTTGAAATATACTGGATCTTGTGGTTGTATTATTGAGTGCTTATTTCAATGAATTAACTTCAAAACTGTCACTATATTACTGTAGTAATAATTAATCTCCAACTGTATTTAACTTAACAATTCATGTAACTTAATCAATGTCTCTCCAAAACTATTCACGAAACTTTTAGAAGACAGACCTGAACGAGCATGGTATCAATATAAATTTAGAGAAACTCGGTCATTTGCAGATAACGTCAGCCTTATAACCGATCGTATTTTAACAAAATTATTTTGCCTACCACATGGGGTATTAATACAAGGGATAGAAAATTGGGGACTGAAACTAAGGGGGTGGAGATAAGTTAAGCAAAAATAATCGCTATTTGTGCGAACGGCACTCAGGGTTTGTTAGGAGAGGCTGGGGTCGTGGACAAGTAAAAGATAAGGGGGGTGGATTGGGACAACTACAGAAAAAAAGAAACAAAAGGGGTAATAACATAATCTCTTGGAACAAACAAAACAAAAATAAACAGAAAACACCTCTAGTAATTTAATATAGTGCGCCACTTTGAGGTGCCTAATTACACCTATTATATGTTTTTTTTAAAACCTGAAAAAAGATATGTTTTTTTTATGTTTAATAATTATTTCCCTAGTTACAACCACTAGTTCATTCAGATAAAACTCAAAAATGGGTTAGTTAAAAAAATAAACAAAATGTTAAGAAAACAAAAGTTAACTTTTATTTTTGCGTCACACCACAAACAGTTACAAAACAAATAATAATAACAAAAACAATGTTGCTATCGGTTTTCAACTCTAAACGGTGGGGACACTATAAGAACTTCATCACTAAGTACATTATTAATAAATTGAAATCATCTAGATCTTTCAATGCAGTTTAGATTAAGGTCAACATTTTTAAAACAAAACAAATTCAAAATTTATGGTTAGTTATGTGTATAGGAATAATTATTATGACAGTTAGCCAATCCCTAATTTTTATTAATTTTACTTATTACAATTTTTCAACTTGTCATGAAAGCAATTATGATAAAAAATGTCTATTTTTACTTAAAAAAAAGTACCTGATTTTACTAAACATTATATCTCCTTTAAAGGTTTTGGGGCTGGAACTGGTTTTATAAACACTGCAAATAACACAAATGCGTCTTACAAGCTTCAAAATGGTCTGGAATGACCAGAGACAAACAAATAGATGAAGGAAGTTGAAGTTGGGCTGGATCATCGATCTGCGGGTTAAAAAATTGCAATCTTCTAAGCTTGGCTTTTCAAAACTTCATTAAAAATACGATGGCCTCTTATGTAAACACCTCACAAATTTTCCATTTAGGACATAATACAACACATATAACTTTCCACAAACAAGATCTGTCGGCTTTCTGAAGATTACACGCCGAGCTCTTAGCTGCCACCACACTACACATTTTCCCATGACAAAAGACAAAAAAACTAAAAACATTACGAATTTGAAGAAAAAGTCGTACTCCAATAAAACTATAAACGCTTTTGACAGCGGTTTCACCGAGAGTAACAAAATTATCCTCAAAAATTGATCGCATATCTTAAAATAACAAAACACTTAAACGATGGTTGAAACGCAAATCCTTTATGAGAAACGCAATTCAATCAGTTCGAATAAAACATTAAAGAAATACCGAAGAAATAACATCTGTAAAATATAAACAAACTATTAATGGTTTATATTCACGAGCCGACTTAAGAAGGAATTGAAAACATATTGGGTTTTAATACGTACGAATAGGAAACTGAAATGCATTAAAATACTCTTCGATTTTTTAAACATATGTGAGGGGATTTCAATATATTACAAATACGAGGCGGATTTCAATATACACCAAAAAAATCAATGTATTGCAAATGCTACAGTATGTATGATTCAATACTAATGTTTGCAAAACTATATCGCGCTTCCTTGGAGGTCGGACTAAAGATTAATACGAACAAGATGCAAATAATAAATAATCTGGTGCTAAATCAAAATAATATTGTTGATAGAAGGGATATTGTGCAGATGTGCATCGTATAAGTACTTAGGACATGAAATTCGGTTGCGCAGGGATAACCAGACATGTGAGCTCCCATGTCGCATATGATTAGCCTAGGCAAGGTTTTGGTAAATTAAACTATGTATTTAAATGGGACCTACCCATATGCCTCAAAAGGGTAATCTTTGACCAATGTGTATTAGTTTTACTCAATTATAGAGCGGGAACATTAACACTCACAAAAAATGTTGTGAATAAGATTCGCGTGACTCAGAGGGCTATGGACCGCCAGATGTTGAGTGTCTCTCTGAAAGACCGAATCCCAAACGAACTAATACGTCGTATAACAAAAACAACAGACGTCATCGAAAAAATTGCTTCGCTATAATGGAATTGTGCAGAACACGTCGCCAAATTACCAGACAAAAAAAATGGACAAAACGTATTGTCGAGTGGAGACCAACACAAGAAGCAATACGGAGCAGACTACGCCCACCAACCAGGTGTACGACCTGAGGCGTGTTAGCAGTCACTGGGTACAAGTCGCACAATACACAGACAGACATAGCGTTGCTTTGTGCCCTCCAATTTAAAAACTTTCACGACCCTGGTCTACCTGGCCTTTCGGCATACGACCTTTAGCGACTCCACAGAGCCTACGAGTCCGACACCAAATAAGGTGGCACGATGCCGAAACATCGTGTGGCTCCACCTTACCCGTGATACTAGTGTCACCCGTCCGGAGAACCTACCCGGGGGCGGAAAGGCGACGTAGGCGGAGCCTCTACCGCTCCTCACCCTCTCCTCCTCACTCCTCTACCTCTCGTAAATCTTTCCAGGTAGGTACATGCCGGGGACACCGACACCACCCTCGGTGGTGTAAGGACGTGGGAGATATTTACGTGCCCAGCTCGAACCTCTCCTGGCTCTTGTGGAATGAGAGTAGAGTAGTCCCACGAGATGATCGTCTCGGATACTAGGAGTATTGTCCGTTGACCAAGATGACTATGCATCTCGAATGCGTTTCTACAGACCCGACAACTCGAACGACGGCTCTCTACCTCTCATTGGCCCACCCATAAGTCACCTCTTACGACAGGCAAGGTCTTCTGGCCTCGGCCGTATTCTTATCTCCGCGAGCCGAAGGGAGACACAGACAGACGAAAAGAGCTGAGAGACACCTATGTCCAGCAGTGGACACATACAGGTTGATGATGATGATTTTTGTCACGAGATTAAATTAGGAAGAGCCAATTAAACAACAGCATTAAATAGGAGAATAGGACTTACCATAGGCATATATTCATGAGGTGAGATTGTAGTAGTAACT